ATTAAGAAGGCAGACAACTAACATTCCCTCATGCATTTGACTAGTACTCTTATTAATACTAACCTGAGAGTTATGTGAGCAGTGATTTATCAACTTATTCAAGCTATCTCATTGTACTTGTACTTCCAAAAGTCATGGGGTTTGCAGTTCACAGCAGGCTGCAAAGAGATGTCTACAGGCATGTATCTATATTTTCATGTTGTTGAATATTTTAAAGTTTATTCTTTTCTTGTTTAGCTACAGAATTTCAGAATTCCTCTCAAAGTTTAAGCTTCACACTAAAACTGTGAAATTTAAATTTAACTGGAAGCTGAAGTCTAAGTAAGATGACATGTTAGATTTTTCATACTGCTGAGACCGTATCTTCCAACTTTGTGGTCACATCCTTTTTATCCTTCTGTCTTCCTTTCCTTTTCTTACATGGTGTCTTCATATATGTGAATCCCTTTGTCTTCCTCAACTTATACCCACCGCACCAACTTTCTTCCTTTATTATATTTGAGAGCTATTTTACAAAGTTAAAGTGACAGGAAGAAATCCAGAGACTGAAAACACACATGACCCAAATATTGAGTCTGATCCAGCCCTCTTGGCCTGGATGAAAGTTATCCAAGTTCCTTCCCTGTGTAAGAGCTCTACTGTATGAACTGTGATGGAAGTTTGAGAACAAGTTGAACCTAAATATAATATAGCTATTATAGTATAAAATATACAATATATTTTATAATGCAATATAATCTTGAAGTAAGCATAATTTATCCATTTATTTTTTTAATTGACTCATAAAGCCAATATTGATGCAGTAAGAGCTATGTGCTGTGCATCTGTAGGGCTTTAAGATTTTATTAGAGTTTGGCTTTTGATTTCAGATTTAAATTTTAAAATGTACTTTAGGCCTTAATGGTTAGGTATCAGGGCAAAGTGTAAAGTCAGAAAGAAGAAATCACTGTAGCCTGAAATGCTCTTGAGGAGAAGAAATGATTGATAGTCCCTGCCGCCACCACCCCTTAGCTACCCTCTGCCTTTGTGAGGAGAGGGCGGGTGAGCCTTAGAGATTTATAAAACTTTGGGGACTTTATTATTACCTTCCAATAAATGATCTTCCTCTTTGACAGCCAAGGTACTTTATAAGAATTATCTACTTCATTCTTATCAGATTCTTAAAAGATAGAAAGCGGTAATATTTCAAATGAATCTGTGTTAGTGGATACAAAATGAGCTCAGAAATGTTACAGGACTTTTCTAAAGCCATGTCACCTCACAGTGACATAATCAACGAGTTGGATCACAGCCACCCAAAGCCTGCTCTGTACCTCTTCCCAATTGGCTATATTTCTACCTTTGTCAGAGTATGATTAATTCTGCCCTTGTTAGACCTGTGCTTTGATATTTTTGCTTTTGTTTCACAGCAAAGGTTCTGGGTCTGACTTTAATGCTACCTGACTCATTCTCCGTGTGACAAATGCCCTGAGTGGTAGAAGACAGACAGACACCCTCATCCTCAGCATGTGGACAGTGGGTAACAGGAGCTGAGGGTTCTGGGTTAAGGCTTCACCACTGATGTCACACGACACGGCCGTGATACTGGCGTCTTCTCCACTGGAAGGGCCTGATCCTTCCCGTACGTAGATTCCTGCAGGGGGCACTCTTCACCCTCTCCTGGGCAGCTCACTGATTCAAAGGCTTAAAAAATATATCTGGGCCAACTGCAATTTTGTACACCAAAATTTTGCTGAAATGCTACAGGCTACATTATTTGAGAGAAAAATGAAAGGACAGTGACATGACACAGTAATGTACATCAAGAAAAGACTGACTGAGTGACACTCTGGTGGGAGACCCATCTAGTAAGAAGAAATAGAGGCTGTGATGCTTAAAGACACACTTGCAAATGTGAAGTGCTTCGTCTGTGGCACACAAGTAGAGTCACAGCTGAAGCAGAGCCTGCTAGTAAAAAAGGCTAAAACTAAACTAGTAGAAGTTACTAGACTCAAGGATTCTTCTAAGCTTCTGTTCTGCCCTGTACAGCAGGCTCCTCTGGCCAAATCTACCGAACCAAGAGCTTTTTAAACTTTATAGGATCACAGGGCCACTGGCAATCGAATAACAGCTATGAACTGGTCCAGAGCAATGCTCAGATTTAGAGATACTCTGAGAGTTTCGGAGAGCCCTGAAGCTCAGGATGATGAATTTGCTGGTTGTCAGTCACTCAGGATCAATTATCTCTGCAGTGTGGAAGTGCAGGGGAAACACAGGAAGGCAAATTTACCTTACCGTTAGCTCTGGAGTACTGTTTGCTTAGCTTTTCCCTCAACTTAGGTCCCACACTTGGGTTCAAACAGCAGAAATCTCATGAAAGGAAGAGACCCAACTTCACTACGTATTTAGGGATTCGCAAGTAAGGGGTATTTTTCCCCAATTCTCTAAGAACCACCAGCAGTGCAAATGTAACAAATGCATAAGAAGAATTTATCTAATAATCACATAATTATGCAAAAGAGTGTACTAAATTCTGAAAAATTAAAACAGATGTATATAAATTATTGCCAAGTGTATAATTTAATTAGAAAAATTGAAAAACTATTTAGGGATTTGGTTAACACCAAACTAACTAAAAATGTCAGACCATAAAGGCCTCCTCTTCACACCAATTATTACTCAGGGAAGATGTTGTTTTCCAGGCAAACTTAAGCCTCGGAAATGAAAATTCACGGTCTGGCCAATAAATTCACTTCCCCTCTCCATACAGGAAAGACAAGGCAGGTTTCAATGGATGAGACAGAGATAGGTGGTGTGCCAACTCTAGGTTTATAAAAATTCAGATCTATAACCAAGAGACTTCCATAATCCTTAGAATTAAAGCTGCTTTTGTGGTTGTTCCTCTTTCCCTCACCACAAACAAGGGCAACAAAACAAATTTGAAAGCTATTTAGAATATCAACAAACTTACATGTGTGGGCTTGAAAACTTCATAAAGCCCAATACAAAACTGTAATATGTAGGTTTTGGAAAAACTTATCATAGAAGATCAGATAAAATTATTTAAGTCCTTCCAAGTGGCTGTTTGCATTCTTACAGAGGCAAAAGTCTTTCCCGTGGAACACAGTGCTAGCACAAAGCTGGCAGGCAATGAAACTCCATCTCTGCACTCTCCGCTTGAACCTTTTCTCTACTGACACCGGAGGAAAACAGTAATTTACTGTAAGTGTTCGATGACTCATGCAGTGACAATGCCCCTGAGAGTACAATTTTTTCTTCTGTGTTTCTACAGCTCAGTAAAATCACAGTCAGTCTAAAAATGTCCCCTGTGTAGCTCAGAAAACCATAGTAATTTAATAAGGCTCAGAAACCCTGGCTAACTTGGAGGGCTTCATGCAGACGGCAGTGCTGTGGAGAGCGTCAAGACAGCTATCCCAGTGGTCATGCAAGCACAGATTAGGGCAAAGAAAACTTGACAGTAGGTAGCAGACCAAATGCAGACACATCATTCGATCCTACAGTCTGTGCTAAAGGCAAAAATGTGTGAGCTTTTTCGTGCAAAAAAAAAAAATCTCCAAAGAAAAATTAATTTTTCTTTCAAAATAGCCTTTTGTGTTTCGTATTCACTACACCATTTTAGTTAGGCTACACACTCTCTCTGCCCATAAGACTTACTTTCAAGTTATTGTTGAGACAGCTAAGGAGGGTAGGGGGTAAAGCGATCTTCTGATACACTTGTCAAGATGTCTGAAGTTTGTGGGGGGCCTTCGAAACACACATGTATAATTACTTCTTCAAGAAATGCACACAAGGTATCATGTCAAACGTGAAGAAGTCTCAGCTAAGCTCTGCTTTTGTCTCAGGGAGATCAAGATTATTCACAGCATGGGGTACAGAGAAAAAGAGCTGGAAAGTCGAGTCAGAATTATTACCAGAGGAAAGCGCTTGGGTCTTCCTGAGTCTTCACAGAGGATGAGATTTGTTTGGGGAGCTATTGAGTTTTAGAACATGAATCACATCACTATTCAAATGCAAGAATCAAAACATCCTCTGGAGTAAAATATAAATTATGTCATTGATGCTATTAGTATAATTAAACAGAGAACTGATTACCTTTTATTTTGAATGATTTGAACTTCTGAGCTAATTTTATGCAGATAATTATCTCTCCCGTGCAGCACGAACAAACTAGGGTGTTATTTGCAATTCAAACTCTCGCCTCGCTTGCCTTGCCACTACTCTCTCCTGCCCAAGCTGCTTCTGAAGCTTTGACTTCCTCATAGCTGCCCCCACTTCCATATGGGAATGCCCTGCTGTTCCAAATACCGGAAAATATAGTATTTCTCCCTTGTATCTTAGACTAAGTTCCCACCGTCCAACCACTTACCCACAGGACCTCCTACTCCACTTGTATTCTCACGTAGTGTACCACGAAGTTTCAGATGTTATACTTGCAATGCATCCTACCTTCTACATAACTGAGGTTTCCATTTTCCCCTCTACCTCCTTCTCTCTTTTGTTACTTTGAGCCTTGGTATTTTCCATCTTTAATAAGCTTCTTCTTTCTTGGCTTATGGGGTCTTTTAACCCTAGGTTTTTATAGTCCGGTTTGGCCCTAAGGTCTTTACTTAAAATTCTCCAAGACTCTTCATCCTTTTGAGGATAAATTTTGCATAGTCCACAGGGCCTTCATCTCGGCCTTGTCCTTAGGTTCCATTGACCTTAGGTTCCATTTTTACCCTTTCTGTTGGTGTAAAGTGAGGCGCAGCTCCCGTCGGTGAGTGAGTGGCTGAGCCTAAACAGCAAGCACCTTTGCTCTTGTCTTTGCATACAGAAGAGATCTGTGTGTTGGATGTTTTTTTTAAACCAAAATGATTTATACATAATTTTAAAAACCAAGACTATATTCAACATATGCTTCTATGCTCAAATGAAATGAAACTTTGGTCAAGTGGGAAAAAAAAATGAAATGAAACAAAAGTAACAACCATGAAAAAGATTTCCGTGACCCAAATTCTTACCTAATGTCTGCTGGAAAACTGCCCTCCAGCCTCTTGCTGTTTGAAGAGAATCTGTCTTGAACACCAGAAGCATGCTGTTACTGCTGCTCTTAAGAACCGGTGGACGTGTAGAACCACAGAATTTGCCAAGAAGGGGATCGCTGATGTTAGCACCATCATAAACTGCCACGAAGTCATTGGAGCACAGAGTGGAAGGGACCACACTAAAATCTCCGAACCTGTGAAGTGTATCTCATTAATACTGATGTTCTCCTTTGAATGCCTATGAAATTCCCCAGTTCTTGTAAGAAAAAAAGAAGCACATAAGGCAAAAACTGAAAGCAAAACATCTGAGCTTTACTTGGTGAGAAATATTATATGTAAGACACCACTTGAGTGATGCATTCAAAAGTTTAACATACATATTCTGAGTAACTACATACAAATGTCAAAAACTTTGACAGCTGAGCAATAGTATACAGTTCAACATGTGAACAAATTGCCAGTCTAAGATATATCAAAGTCCATCTGAGATCATGTTTTGATAAGCTGAACTAATTTATCATTCCAAAATATGGCACTTGTTCTGCCCTGGTTGTTTTGTGAGATGAAGTGGTGCTGTTACCCCTTTCGTTTCTTGTGAGAAGAATGTTAGGGTAATAAAGTGGAAGAAATGCTGGTTTCAGAATTACAGCTTCAGCCTTGTGCTGACAGTCTAGTTTTTCTCTTTTAAAATGCACTTCATGGCAAGATTAAGCACAACAATATGTGAAAACCAAACTATGGTATCTGGCACACAGTAGTTGCTGAATAAAGTGAAGTTATTATTATGATCATTTTAGAAGCAGGAATATGAGAGAACATACTTCTTATAAGAGATGCAAACATATAAGTAGTGGTAGAAAAGAATGAACAAAACTCTACTGGGTCTTATGTGATTGCTGTAACAAGAAATTTACAATTCTCTCTGAATTCCTTTCCAGGCACTGTGTGTCACTGAGACCCCAGGGTTAGAAATGCACCATTTTAGGTAAAAGCAGCCTTGAACTTTATTCCCCTGGAGAACAGGGAGCTGCATCCCTTCAACCATCTTGTGATCACACGGAATTAGACGAGGAATTTCCTAATGACGCAATGTATCTCTTACAGAACCAGTTTACAGGTGTTCTGATGCACGGCTGAAAAACCCATTGCTTAGCAGAGAATTTCTTTTTGAGAGACAGCATGGGGGAATACTAAGGATATGATTTTTGGAGGACATCTGATGTAGACTGAGATTCTAACTTGTCATTTCAGTGTGTGCTACCCTAGAAAGTTGTGCGACCCTCTCTCCCCAAGCCTCAGTTTTCTCATTGGTAAGACGGGAGACACATATACATTTCACAGGGCTGTTTAAGAATAATCAAAAACAAATAAGGAAGGCATTGATCAGCGTTTCCAGTGTCTGGTAAATGTCCAACAAATGTAAGTGCTTTCTCTAGCCCTTCCTACCCTCGCTGATTTCAAGACGGCCTTAGAACCTGGTAACCCATTATACGAAGCCCCTTCCACTGCTGGGGGGTCCTAAGAACTGTTTTTAATGGGTGGGAAGCCTGTTTTCCCTTTGAACATCATTGCCTTGCATGGGGCAGGGAAGAGTTCCCAGATTTGCCTGCCATGCAGAAATCTCCCTCTTCTTTCCTCTGAATTGCCTTCTAGATTATTGAGAGAAAGAATCAGTGCTCCCTGTGAGTAGAAGAATAGCTTTTCTGTGAACAAAGCTGGAAGTATTTTTTTTTTCTTGAGAAAGCAAATTTGTCTTACGTACTTGAGTAGAACCACTCTGTCATTTCTAACGGAGATGTTATACAGACAGTAGACACTGTTTGGGTAGTGGCCCTCTGAGTAGGAAGGACTCTTGATTGTTCCAGTGGATGAGTTGTATGTACCACCACACGCTGCAAAGGAAGGTGCAGAGGACAGTTATGATCCATAGTATGGAATAATGATGTTACATATTTTATATTATTGTACGTGTTCTCCTAAGTGAGATAATAATTCTTTTTCTTAAATTAGCTTTAATCTCTTTCAGTGTCTTTTGAAATAATTTTGTTTTTTCCATTGGAGTAAAGAATAGGAGACAGTAAAGGAGTAAAACCTGGGAAGAATATCTTAAGGCACACTTCAGAAAGGAGTAAGTATCTGTGAAATTAACAGTCAGAGTGAAAATAAGGAGGAAGTACATTTCACATGTGTGGTGCAGCTTCCTGTCCCATTATTTAACTGACAGATTGATAGATAATAGCGATAACTGGCAGTTGGGGTGTGTTCTAGAAGATCATGGAGATCGGGGAAAAAATTCAGCCTAGAAATCCTTAAAAATATAGATTCACATATCTTCCATTAAGAATAGAATATTATAAGGCGAAGTACTGGAAATCAGTTTCAGAAGTTTCAAGCTTTGTTCCTGTATGGGTCAGATACATAGTTCTTAAGTCCCCTGTATTTATATTTAGTTGTGAGAGTGGTAAAAAAAAAAATCCTACACTAACCCAAATTTGTATAATTTACCTTCTATAAGCATCAGGAAGCTAAGCCTCTCCACACTCTGACTCCATAATTATTAACCCAGAGTCTTTAGTTAGACCCAACAGTCAATAAAATGGCAGCCACAAAGTATAACACAGCTTCTCTGTACACAACATAAAATTACTACAGTAATTTTGCTTCAGCCTACATATAAGAAGGATCAGACTGTCGCACCTAATGTCAGATGCTTTACTCTTGCGGAAAGACAGACCTATGTGTACTTTATGATTCTAAAATTACAATGTCGTTAGTGTACCTTGATATTTCTGTGGTTTGTGCACTGTCAAAGGACATGCTCCACCTTCACCTCTGAGACATGAGAAACAATTTTTAGCTGCCATTTATGGTTCTTTGCTTATTTATTGTTTTTGCCTCAGCTGAACTCATGTGCAGGGAAAGCGCCTCTCTCTCTGCCTGTAAGTACTCATGGTCTCAGACCCCTGGGCACATCTGTCTTGAATTAAATGTCTACCTTGGGCAGCAGTTACTCTGTTTCATTCAATACACAACTATGTGCTCTCTGAAAATTCATCAGGGCCTAAATATCTTCCATCTTCGTACACTGTCAAGTCTTGGGGTCAGGATTAACAATGCTCTTTAAGTGAGGCTTATGTACCAGATTTATTAAAACTTGCACATTGTGTTTATGAAAAGGGGAGATTAAAAAGCAGAAGAATACAAAGCAGTGGTTTAATTCTCCAAAGCAGTGGTTGCTCCAAACAAAGAAAGCAAATATATTCTCCTTTTTTGTTCAACAAGACAAGAGGGAAGAAATGTTCATCGTTTAGTTTATCCCAGTGGTGCCGACGGGCCCTACACCACCATACAGAATCATACTTTACAAATGATAGCGTTTAGGATTCAGATAGCAGCTAATGTGAACAAATTATCAAGGCCCTTTTCACAAGTAAATAGACTTTTTTAGTCTTCCCTGTGGATGGAAAAAGTAATTTATCTGAAGGGAAACTATTTACCTTTCTACCATTAGCAGTGGATTTGGTTAAACAAAGACAAAACAAAGCAAGGAGACATTTTACAAACTAAGTCTGATTCACCGAAGTGGAGAAGCTATGGGGAAAACACTGTGTGCAGACTAGCCAAGCAAGAGGCGCAGAGACAAGATGGGAAACATAATCTATGATTTTCTTCGTAGCTCCAAAGCCTTTATCCAGCATTTGCCTTTGTTAGAGAAAAATTGTAAATTATAGCACAGTTGACCGTATCCACCTTTTTCTTTGCCTTTCGGGCTTGTGCATTTTGCAAGTCATTTTTAAAAAATCCTTTCTTATCAGAAGATCCATATAGATATTCTCTTATATATCTTCTAAATTGACAAAGTATTATTTTTTGTACTAACAAAGTGACTTGGGGAATAAAACAGGCACCAGACAACTCGGAATAATTCACACCTAAAGACATCTTTATATAATGAATGCAAAGTAAGACAGCTAGAATTTTCATTTTAACTTAAATCACAAAATAAATCTCAATCCTCCCTCTGGTTTGTCTCTTTTTAAGAAAAGAATGGCTAAATATCTCTGTCCCACGTATCTAATTCCCTTAAAGTCTCTGAATCTTCAAGCTGGTGATTACTGAATCACAGTGAAAACTGTGATTCAAATTACAAATTACTCAAGAAGAAAATTACTCAAGAAGAAAAAAGAAAATTCCAAACTGTATCGTAATAGCTACTCACTGATCGTCCGGTAGGAAACCTTGAATCCGAAGTCCGTGACGCGCGAGTTAGAGTAGAAGTGAAGCAGCACCGGACCGGCCACCCCGATGGTATCCAAGGTCTCCTCCCCGCACACGGTAGCCACAGGTGTGGAAGAGAGGCTGTCCCCTCTGAGAATGCGCAGACCGTCGCTGTCACAGTACCCCGTGGCGGCCGAGCGCGCTGCACAGAGTACGGAGCAAGCAGCGTTATGATCAGAAACCACACTGACAATCAATGCTGTAAACTTTAAACAAAACCTTATGACGATACGCAGAGGTGATATAAAAATTACAGTAAGAATCAAGAGATAATTGAGTACGTCGACTTTTAGCTTTGTTTCCTGATGAGACAGCGTGGACCCCAGGTTCAAAACAAACGCAACGAGAGTCATGATACATATTCTACCTTTAAAAAAATTCAAAATTTGCTGTTTATAATTCATGTAATGTAATAATTATAAACCAGAGACGCCTTGCCTCCTGGGGGATATTTGGCAATATCTGAAGACGTTTGTTGCTGAGCCATTGAAGCCAGAGTCGCTGATAAGTATGCTGCTGTGAATGGAACCATTCTCACAGGCCGCACGCTGCTGCTGCAACAAAGCGACCGAGCCCCATCAACAGCGCGGCCATAGGGAAGGTCTGCTCCAAGAATGTGCAAGAGACTCCTGCCATCAAGAGATCACTGGAAACCCCTTCGTGTTTTCTGAACAGCCAATTTCACTGCGTACCCAAATAAAATTAATTTAAGGCTCCAGTGATTGTAGAACTACATACCACTGTTCCTAAATTATAAAACAAATACAGAAAACAGAATAAGCAGGAAATTGAAATATATGAAATAGGAAATTGAAATATATGAAACAGAAAATGAATATATTCATATATAATTATATAATATATTATTAAATTAATATTATAATATATTGATATGCAATATATAAAACAGGAAATTGAAACATAAAAAAACAGAATAAACAGGAAACTGAAAAGAATGTTACAACTACAACTTCTCCAGTCATTTTCACAGGTGACTAGGTACTGGGTCACATGCATTGCAATCCTTTGTGACCCAATTTTTAGTGACATAAAATAACACACTAACATGCATTTCTATGTGATTAGTCTTTTGACACATTTATTAATGCATGCATCAAATTAAAGATTACAAAAGAAAATTACTCAAGAAGAAAAAAGAAAATTCCAAACTGTATCGTAAGTGTTAAGCACTTGTCCATATTCCATAAATTCTAGGCTCTCTACCTTCAACTAAAAAATTGTCAGAAAAACACTGTTGGACACAAATATTTGAGGCTGTTTCATATTACTTCATTAGAATAAACTTCTAGAGTTTGAGTTACTGGTACTAAGGCAAGAATCTTTCTAGGTTTACCAACTGACCTTCTGGAAAGATGTTACCAATTCACACCTGCACAGGGTTTAGGAATTTGCCATTCTTCCCAGGTCTACATTTCCAGCACCCTAGACAGGACTTTGTACCTGTTGGTAATCACTCTCTACCCTTTCTATTTTTATTGCTCTGCCAGCCCTACATGACCACAAATCTACTTTCTTTATCTATGGATTTGTCTATTTTGAACATTTCACAGGAACAAAATTACACAATATGTAAACTCTTGTGATTGGCCTCTTTTACTTAATGTTTTTGAGGTTCATCCAGGTGGTAGTACATGTCAATATTCCATTCCTCTTCGTGGCAGCATAATATTTCATTGTGTGGTTATATCACATTTTTAAAAACATTCATTCATCAGAGCCAGGTGTGGTGGCACACGTCTGTAATTTTAGGGCTCTGGGAGGCTGAGGCAGGAGGATCATAAGTTTGAGCCTACTCTGAGCAAATTAGCAACTTAGTGACACCCCATCTCAAAATAAAGAAATAAAATAAAAAGGACTTAGGATATAGCTTAGTGTGAAAGCCCTGGGTTTAACCCTTAGTACTGAAAATATATCATCAGTTGAGAAGCACTGATACATTTTCATTTTGGATGCATTAATATGTACTCACTTGGGTATATAACTAGGAGTAGAATTGCTGGATCATACCCTAACTCCACATTTAAAAATGTGAGACCCTGGCACTCTATTTTCTTGAGTGGCAGCAGTATTTTATAACCATACTCACAATACATAACGTTCTAATTTCTCTACATAGTTGTCAACACCGGTTATTGTTTACTTTTAGAATTATAGCCACCCCAGTGGTACAAGCCACCCTGTGGCCATGCTTACAAGCCGCCCTTGTGAAGTGGTAGCTCGTTGTGGCTTTGAGATCATTTCCTTGACTTACGATGCTGAGTACCTTTCCATGTTTATCGTCCATCTGTGTATCAAGTCAACTCTGCCCTCCTGCTGTAGAGACGCCATCTTTCTCTCTTTTGGGCCCCTGCTTTGAAGGCTGCTACTCTACAGCCAGGAGAGGAACCAGCCCCAGCAACCCTCATACTGGAGCAGTACAGAGGAAGCGCAAGAGCAGGAACACATTTGATAACGTCATTCACACGCTAAAGCAAATGCAGTTAAGGCTCTTTCATGTCTAAGCCAAGCTGGACTTTTCCCTGCAACCGTGCCTTAGAAATTCCTAACAACATGGCAGCACTTTACTGTTATCATCATCACTGCTGTTTCTCTTGAGAACAGAACCTCTCCATCCTGTGTTCTGTTGATGTACGATTGACTGCCCCAAAGCAGGACACTGCACCCAGTGCAGGCCAGGTGGACACACCTGAACTGTGAATGACGGGGGACAGTGGTAGCAGCCAAAGACGTTCAACTTAGAAAACAGGGTCAGCCACGCTTCCTGACGCACGCACGGAGGAATGAGAAAGAAGGGTGCTATCATGCAGAAAGCAGCAAAGGGGCGGGGAAGGGAGGCCGGCGAGGGATCCCTGCCTCTGCTCCCCCTGTTCTAGAAGTCTTTTATCCTTTTCCTGCTTTTAAACCTTTCTTTGATGATATGAGATAACCCGGAATCCTCCTAATAATCCCAGCTTTGTATCTAATCGACCTTGAAGATAGTCTACTCCTTTTAACTGAGAGGATCTTGACACACACATTCATGTTATGCATCCGTAGAGTACAAAGAGCCAGGGTGCTCCTCCCCACTTCTTGGATCTGAGGATTAACTTGGACAAAGCTGATGTTTTCATCAGAAAATATTTGTGCAGTTTAAATCTGGATTTTAGGAATATATTTGGTTCCTCAGCTTGAGGATATTGTGAGGCATCAATTGAAGATCCTATTTATTAAATAAGCCTCAGAGAATTCCCTTATTTTGAAAATCCTAGAATAGAAGTGTTTCTAATCGGTCATAAATGTGAAAGACTTAACTTTAATGATTTTACCATGTAATTAGAAGCAATGTGATATTGGGAAAAATAAGACAAGGATGAAATTAAATTCAGATTCATACTTTGAGTACTGCCAAATTATGTACTTTAATTACCACTTCCGAATTTTTCTTGAACACATACAAAAGCTCAGATGGAGTCTTAAAAATGCAGAGTAGATGACTTTGAAAATAGAAAACACTTTGTGTTGGCTATAAAAACATCTTTACTGAACAGCCATGTACAAAGTTACAGATCCAAACTCACAGAATGCAGGGAAACATTCCTGACCCCAGGCTGAACTCCTGGCCCTGTGTTTGCTAAACAGCCTCCTATGCAGGTGCCTTTCAGTTTTAAAGCTGCTTTACAAATTGTTGGGCTGAGGATATAGATTATCACAGTGGTACACAGCTTAGAAAATCATGGCAAGGGTATGACACTTAAGGTAAAGTGTGCTGTATACTTGATTATTCTTCCAAAAACTTAGTTAAAGGAGCTAGTTTAATTATAAATTAATAGCAGTGGTTTACTGAGACATAACCAGAGCCCATGAACTGCTTACAAATGGTGGGAGACAAGAAGAAAGTCTGTTGGGGAGACATAGAGGAAGTTGAGAGGGGATGTGAGGGAATTTGAATTTCTTGGTACATGACAATGTAATATAAATCAAATTGTTCAAGATAATCTGCTTGTTCTCAAAGCCTGACTCAGTCGAACTGAAAACTGTGATACTTGGAAACATTTAATGGATTAAAGTATCCTTCCATCCTTTCCCACTGTGACTTCTTTCACAGAGGCTGTCCTTACAACTTGGCAAAGTTGTGCAAATCTAAAGATGTATCAAGAACTAGTAAGAACAGGTAATAGGTAAGAAAATGAGGTATAAATACTGTGGCACAAGAAATCAAGTAATGCACACATATCTTTTTTAAGGGCTACATATCACATCAGTGTGTTCGATCAAAGAAATCAGCATGATTCTTCCATGAGAAGATAGTAGGTGATAAAGACAGTGACCATCAGAAAATAATTGAATATTTCTCCATAATTAAATGAGGAATCCATTGCTCATAATTATATGTACACAGCACTCTCAAGTAGAAGACAGTTAAGTATGACCAGGGTAACTATCTGCTAGGGAGAGGCAGGAACTTTGTCAAGATCTAGATAAAGTTCTTTAAGAAACAAGGTAGATCTCAAAGTTGAGTTTAAGGCCAACAGGTGACATTGAATCAGGCACAAGAACCTGTTAGGAAGACAAGCTCCCTGAAATTGAACAATATATTCTCCTGGGACTACAGTCCATGCCGTAGGACAGGCAGCTACAATCGTTGTCACTTCTACCTTCCATAAATGATTTGATACATATTTACTGCTGAGACATCTAAGCTGTAAAGCAATTGAGCATGATTGGTTTTTATGACTGCTTCTATCCTCCCCACACATATTTATTGTTTGAGATGTGTAGGCGTTCTATGTAAAGTACTGAAATACAAGTTTTATTACATTTTTGTGGACTTTACTACAATACAATGTCTAATTCTGAATTCTATTATGATTCTAAAACTTTGGGAAGAAGTAACAGAAAACTTAAGGCTGAGGAACGTGGCAAATAGCATAAACTTGTGGAATTTAGATTCAGTCTATAGTTTTTCTTCAGAGTCATAGGGAGAAAGAGACAAAGTGCCAAAAGGGACTAAGCTTAATGGAGTATCGTTTAGTTAGGACACTGTGAACAGGTAGATAAAATCAGGTCTTTTTGGGGAAGGAGTAAAGGGTTTCGAGATGGCAAGTGATTTAAGGGAAAGCACTGACAGGCATCTGTCCCCTG